TATGAGACCCGGCAGCAGACAGCACGACTCAATTTGTCAACAGACACTCCTACCTCTTCACTCGAGACTGTTTTGTCTGTACCTGTCACTGCTCCTGTTATGAATTATACTTCTCCACAGGCTCCCTCTCCACAGGCTCGATCTAAGCTCTCTTGCAAATATTGTAAGAAGGAAGGACACCGCATTGAGACATGCTTCAAGCTTCATCCTGAGTTACGTTCCTCAGGTACTGGACGTGGTCGGCGACCCCCTCAGTCTCAACCCTCTCGTACACCAGGATTGTTGGCCAATGCTATACCTTCTACTACTTCAGACTCTACTATTCAAGCTATTGAAAGTCTTCGCCGTCAACTTGATGCTTTTCAACATATCACCTCTACATCCGCCGCACAACTCTCTGGTATGCATTTTGCTGGTTCTTCAGCTAATCCTTCAGTCTCTGGTATGAATGATCTCTGGATTTTTGACTCTGGTTGTTCCTTTCATATGACTTGTAATGCCTCACTTTTATCCTCTGTCTTTACTTCATCCTCTCTTCCTCCTATCTACACAGCTGCTGGACAACCATTGTCCATTACTCAGTATGGCTCTATTACCCCACAAAATGATCCATCTGGTCGTCTAACACTTGGTCCCGTCTATGTGGCTCCACAATTGTGCTTGAATTTAATTTCTATTAGCTCTTTATGCATGGCGGGCCTGTTTGTCTCATTTTCTTCTGATACTTGTATTGTGCAGGATCCACAGACGGGCAAGACGGTTGGGGCGGGTCGTAGGAGGCACAAACTGTATTTTCTGGAATATCTTCACCTTCCAGAGTCCATACGTCCACGTTCTCTTGTTGCTTCTCTTTGTTCGTCAAAACCCTCTACCTCGCTTCCTGCCAATTTATGGCATAGACGACTTGGTCATGTGTGTAATAAAAGGCTGGAGAGTCTTATTCAGTCTGGAGTACTTGGTCCTGTATCATCTAGTTCTAGTATTGAGTCATGTGCTGGTTGCAAATTGGCTAAATTCACTGCTTTACCATTTAAAATGAGTACATCTGTATCCACTTCCTTATTTGATTTAGTACATTCTGATATTTGGGGGCCAGCTCCTTTGCCTTCTTCATCTGGCTACTTATATTATGTTAGTTTTATCGACGATTTCTCTCGTTTTACATGGGTTTACCTACTTAAGAATCGCTCTGACGTACTTACTGCTTATCAAGCCTTCACTGCTATGATTTTCACTCAATGGCAATCTCGTATTAAAGTTTTTCGTTCTGATTGTGCCAAAGAGTACCTATCCTCTGCCATGCGCTCTATCATGTCCTCTCATGGGACTATCTTTCAACAGTCATGTCCCTACACTCATGAGCAAAATGGTGTTGCTGAACGCAAACATCGTCATATCCTCGATACTGCCCGATCAATGCTCATTTCTTACTCTGTTCCTCGTCGTTTCTGGGCTGAGGCTATTCTCACCGCGACTCATGCCATTAATATCACTCCATCTAGCTCTCTTTCCGGTGCTACTCCTTATAGTCGTGTTTATACTCATCCTCCCCGTTATGATCTAGTTCGCGTTTTTGGTTGTCGATGTTTTGTTTTTCTGCCATCTCACGAACGTGATAAATTGTCTCCCAGAGCAGTTTCTTGTGTTTATTTAGGAATTAGTTCAGAACATCGAGGTTATCGTTGTTATGATCCCGCAACTCGTCGAGTTCATATATCTCGTCATGTTCAGTTCGAAGAGGATTCTCCATATTATTCTACTTCTGATGACTTTAATTTCCTCCACTCTACCGATCATGCTTCCCCGTCCACTGCATCACCCACTTCTTCACCTCAATTTTCCTTTCGAGATCTCCCTGACATCTCTCCCTCTCCTTCTGTTGACTCTTCCTCACCTGAGTCTTCTCTTACACCATCTAATCCATATCCTGTGGACACAACTCTCACTCCAGCTCTATGCCAGTAAGATACCTTGGGTTGCCCTTGATTGCTAAAAAGCTCACTCATCTAGATTGCACACCATTGTTAAGCAAGATCTCAGAGCAGTTTCAAGGGTGGCAGAGCAGAAGAAATCTTTCTTATGCTGGAAGAATTCAGCTGATAAAGTCTGTCATTATTGGGATACAAAACTATTGGACAAGTAACTATGTGTTACCCATCAAGGTTCTACAAAGAATTGATAGACTGTGCTCTGACTTCTTGTGGAACTGCAAGGTACATTTAGTCTCTTGGTATGATATTTGCAAAGAAAAGAAAATGGGTGGTCTGGGATTATATACTGCAAAAGATTGGAACCATGCAGCTGCAATCAAATTGTTATGGATGATTCACATTAAAAAGGATATATTGTGGATTAAATGGGTGCATGAAAATTACATACACCAAATGGATATATGGCAGGTTCAATCAAAAGTGACAGATTCTTGGATGTGGAGGCAATTGCTCAAAGTTAGAGATATGGTACTCAACAGATTTGGTGACAGGAATAATCTACAAAGAGCTATAGAAAACTGTCATATAAATGGAAAATTACAGATTTCAGCTATATATAATGCACTGACCCTTCCAGCAACTTATGCTGCATGGTCGGATACCATTTGGGGAGGCTTGCACTATCCTAAACACTCTGTTATATTATGGCTAAACACCCTCTCCAGGCTGCTGACAAAAGACAGATTATGCAAGATGGGGATTCTGAATGAAAATCAATGTATTCTGTGCTCAGCTCAACAAGAAACAAGTAAGCACCTGTTTTTTGAATGCCAGTTTTCAGCTCACATTTGGAATGAAATCATGGAATGGTCTGATTACTCTTGGAGATCATGTAATTGGGATCAAATCATAAGCTGGTATAGTACAAATCTGAAAGGAAAGGGATATATGAAGAAGATAAAGAGAATGACATTATCGGCTACTGTCTATTGGATTTGGAAGGAAAGAAACTTAAGAATTTTCCAAGGGAGAATGCATACATCAGACCAGTTAGTGAGGGAGATAAAAACTTTAATTTTATCTAAGGTGCTTAACGAAGATATACCTGATCATATAAAGGAAAAAGTAGGAAAAGTGTAAAAACAATTTTCAGTTGTTTTTGGTTCTTACCAGTGATGTGCTGGTGAAGCATTGATATGTATACACTTTCAATTTGGGAGATGAATAAAATCTTAATTCATTGACCAAAAATGGTGATTATAAATCATCATCAAAACATAAAGGCTAACACTACAATAGTAAAAATCCCACATTTATTACCAACTGAAGCCCTAGATGAGCTTCCAAAGCGATCTACTCCTCCACCTAGACCAAGCATTTCAAAAGCTCTGATACCACTTGTTGTACGCGGCGGCCAAACCGATGGGGTGCCGAGAACAGATACCAATACCGAGAGAGAAGACCAAACAATCCAAAATAACGGTACAAACACTAACAAACAAATTTTACGTGGTTCGACAAGTTGCTTACGTCCACAAGGTAAGAAGGGGATATGTTTTCACTAATAGAGAAGAAGAGTACAAATAGAGATTACAAATCCACAAACTAATCTCTCACACAAAATGTGCACACTCAATATTCAATTCAAGGGAAATTTACCCAAGATTCTCTCTCTCTCTCTTACTTTAACATTCACTAATAGAGAAAAAGAGTACAAATAGAGATTACAAATCCACAAACTAATCTCTCACACAAAGCTCTCAATCTCTCAAACAAAACCATAACCAATAGCTCCAGAAAAGGCTCTTTCCTGTGCTTCAATTATCCCCAATACTGCTCTCCCCCAAAACCCTAAAACGTGTTTTAATATATATATATATATCAAAACACAAACCAAATCAGAACAGGAAACCAAATTCTGGGCCTAACCCGATTGGCGATCGACCGCCGAAATCGTCGCGGTCGACTGACCAGAAAGACATGAACATAAAATCGACTACAGGGTTTGGTAGTCGACCGCGACGGTCGACCGTCACCAATTCCAGAGACTCAGAATCGATTACAGGGTTTGACGGTCGACTGCACCAAGTCTAGAATCAATCCCTGAACTGTGCACGTTTCCGGTTGACCGACCTAGCCTCGCGGTCAACCGAACGTCACCAAAACAGTTCTCTGCTTCCAAAATTCCTGTTCTTCAATTTCTTCGCCAATTCTACACTAATTGCATGGCAAAAATGTTCTATATCACTGTCTGGAATTAATGAAGAAAATTCACAAGAAAATTCTAAATATTAAAACGTAAACATTGACCTTTTAGATTTTTAACAACAAATGCTCGCAGTCAAACAGAGTTAGCCAACTTTTACAAAAACCACATGATTCAAACGCTTTCTTGCAAGCTCAACTCTTCTTATTTGAACCCCCCGAGTCACAAACGCATGAGCAAAATTATCAGACTACGCCTCTATTTTTCACATTAGAAGATCCAGAACCGCTATCTCGTTTGTGGATGGTTCTGATGATATGATTACCCTCTTGAAAACTACTTGATAATTTAATTGATATCCAGTAAAGACCATAATTTAACTGATGTGCATTTGTCGACAGTAAAAGAAAGTGTTCTATACTAAGAAAGAAAGGAAGGGAGAAAAAAAAAGTGAGCCTTCAGCTCCTCGTAGAGAGCCCTACTTATACTCGAAATGAGATCCTTTTCTCGTGCATAGTATCTTAATATTTTCAAATGTTCAATATTGACCATTCATTTTACACATGTGGGGCCCATTGAAAGTGATGAAGGGTGATTGAGAGATGAATGCATTAGGAAACATTAGGAGACGTTATGCATGAGGAAAGGATCCGCATCCCGTATACTCTCGCCTGAACACGTGGCGCAGCAACAGGCAACTTTCAACGGCCCCGAGAAACTAAATGGGCCCGAACTTCATCCTATTACTAACCTGACGAAAACACCCTCCCCCATTCTTTTAAATTACACAACGAGGGATATCCTAAAACCTCTTAAATCTCTCTCTAGGTGGGTCGCTGGACAAATTCGCTGCGCAGGTTCGATCTCTACGCCCAATTTTTTGTCAAAAAATTCGTTGAGTTTTATGAAATTAAGATTTTTCTTGGTTCGTATTAGGGTTCTTGGATTGAGTAACTGGAAGTAAGATTTATGCCAACTGTTGATTTTATTGATGTCGTCCGTCTACAATTATAATTTTTAATGTCCGTTTCATTGGTGTCTGCTTTGATTCCTTCTATTTGTTAATTTTTCTATCTTTTCAATTGGAAAAGATGCTGCTTTTTTGAGTTACAAAGCAAATTAGGTATTTCTAGTGTTTACTATTGAGTCGAACCTGTTTCAATTTGTTTAATTTCGATTCCGTTTTGATTCAAAATTTATATTTTTATAAAAATAATTACATAGTCCAACGGTCTGGGTATTTGGTGGTGTTGAAGCCGTGTTTTGAGATCCCTTTTAAAAAATCTAAAATATTGTTCATGATTTTGAAGAAATTCAGTTTTCTTGTAATGCTTGAGAGGCTAAATCATGTGTCTTCCTTTATTGAATTTGCAGCTCTCATATGTAGAATTGGACAACTGCAAGGATATTTTTCTATGTTAAAACTTTCTTTCATCAATGGGTAGGAAGAAGTCTCGTCCAATTAGGTCAGGTGGGATTTCTGATGTCCCGTGTACGAGCGGTAATAAGCCGGACCAAGAGAACAGTGTGGGTTGTAAATTGGAAAATGTAGAAAATAGTTGTCAGAGTCCTGATCATTTGAAGCCGTTTCACGTTGAAGTTGATAGAAGTAGTTGGGATTCCGATGAGAAGTTTGGCGTAGCAGAAATAGTTCTTAATATTGTGAACTTTGCCGATGAAAAAACTCAAATTAGATTAAGTGAAGAAATCCCCGGAAAACTCTATCCTTGCCTTCGATTCAGCTTGTATGGCGTTGATGAAGGTTCCTTTAGGTTAGGTCATTGGCCTGTCTTACCTGCTGATAGTATTGTTCTAGAGAAGGTTGCTTTAGAGAAAGACGGTACCTCGGAGGAGAGCGAGGAAGCTATCATACCTTTTTTCTCTGGTATTTTTGATGGTCCAGATGAGGGTGTTTCTGGTCTTGTACACTTAGTCAGTTTGAAGTTCTTAACACTGAGAAGTATCCATGAAGTTGGAGAATCTTGTGCCAACTCATCTGTGAAGTTTAGAGTAGAAATACTGAAAAGTGCTCTACATGCTGGTGAATCTCTCTTGGAGATTGCTAGGCAGCCATGGAGAAAGAGTATGATAAATGTCATGTATTGGCTACGACCAGAAGTTGTAACATCAGAAGCTATATACAGAATAAGTAGATCAGAATTGGAGGTTGTGGATGAATATGAAGAAACAATGAAAAATGTTGGTTCAAGAAAAAATGTTGAATTTGATGCTGCCGGATTTTATGAAGCCATTAAGCCTTCCAAGTGAGTCTGTGCTGCTATCTCGTTTTATATATGCTAATATATTGACCTTCCTCAACTGCCTTACTTGCTTCTCTGTAGCGCCTTTGTCTTACATAATAATCAAACCGGATTTTCCTTATGGATTCTTTTTCCAACAACACATGGGGAATGGTGAATTACTTTATGGAGTTAGTAATTCAGGCCATTTTCCTGATTCTGATTCACTAGTGGAAATGGTTGCTCTCCTACCATTTTTGGTGATTAATAACAGTTTACTGCAATTTTGCGTTAGTCTTAGTAGTGGTATTTTCATCATTGATGATTTGTCTTTTGAGGATTCAAACGATTGTTGCAACTGGGTTTTGCTTATATGCGGAAATTTGTTAGTGATTTGGATTCCGTCTTAGTTGATTCCATGCTTTTCTTTTTGTTGACAGAGATGAACCTAGATTGGATTCTGAACTTCCTGATTTGCTTCCACGTTTGAGACCATATCAGCGGCGAGCCACTTATTGGATGGTGCAGTTTGAGACCATATCAGCGGCGAGCCACTTATTGGATGGTGCAGCGAGAGAAAGGAGCAATAGATTCATCAAGCAAAAAGATGCAAGAGTCTCTGACTGCACCATTTTGCGTACCGGTTACTTCTCTTGAAAGAAATTCCACATTGTTCTATAACCCTTTCAAGTAACTTCTTCCCCCCATTAGACAAGCACTTTTTTGGTTTATATCTCCTTTACTCGAATGAATCAGCACAATTTTTTCTTTCATCCTGTGGGTAATTAATATATAGGCCGTTAAAAAAAAAGTGAATGGACACAGTCTTTCTTTTTTTACAATTACACCATTTGTAGAGAAATCTATTGGAATAGCAAACATGAAGAAATTAACGATACTTCTTTATCTTTTGAGTTATACTGCCGGATTGGTCGCTCAAGATCTTTGGTCTTCACCTGGATCCGGTGAAAAAAACTGGATCACTTCTTATGGGTTCGTTGAGAATGATTCTGATCTAGTTCATGGCCTATTAGAAGTAGAAGACGCTCTGGCAGGATCCTCACGGACAGAGACAGGGACCTAACATATCTTAGCTGACAATCTAAGAGCCTTCTGAGCATGCCACACTCCTAGTTTGGTTATTTATATCTTGAGGTTAGGCCCTTTGGAATTAGGCTTCCAACTGCATATGGTTGTCTTGCCTCACGTGGTCCTATGTTAATCTGTATGTTGTAAGGCATGCTTGGAAGCAATATGTGTATATCCTTTATTTCAAATAAAAATTTTCAAAATGTAGAACTATACTTGCCATAAGTAGCTCAGAGATGTATATATTGCTTATAGCTGGTTTGGAAGCTGTTGACAACTTTAGTGGTGTATGTCTATTACAAGCTATTAAGGATCCTTCCTTTTTTGTTAATAGAACAAGAGGCTCCATGAGGTCCCAGAGGTTAAGAAGGAAAAAAAGGAAAAAAGTTTTTTCCTTCTATACCTCTCGATGGGAACATGGGGGACAACATGTCGGAGAGGTGGTCTCTGTGCTTGGTAGGAAAGGGGGTACGGTTGGGGGTGATGGGGTTGGCGAGTTGCAGGCATTTATTTTAAGTGTGTGTCCAGTAGCAGATGAATCATACCTTTTTAGCACTGAGCACAATAATGGTTTCTTTCTTCTTCTCTGATTCGTTACCAACATCAACCATAAACCAAATATGTGTTCTTTATTTTCTGTTTGTAAGAGAAATGAATAAGTTAACAATCAGAACCTCTTTTAGGTCTCTGATTTCGAATATTTCTTTTCTAGAAGCAGTTTTTGCAAGCTTATTATTCTAGTTCTGTCGTTGCAATGTGTTTATCATGCCTTCTATTTTCAACTGAGTTCTATTATTGTAATGCGGCTGTATTTTCTTGTAACTCATCCTTTTCTCGATACCAAAATTAATGTCTCATGTGAACTTTATCTCTTTTCAGCGGAAGTGTTTCTTTATATCAAGAATCCTCTCCAATGTATGTTTCTGGTGGTATCTTAGCTGGTAAGATGTTATTATTTTGGGCTTCATGCGTACTTCCTTTTTTGATGTATTAATGTGCTAGCTTTATCATAGCAACTCTACCTATACCTAACTTGTATGCATTTCCATTCAAAGATGAGATGGGCCTGGGGAAAACTGTGGAATTGCTGGCCTGCATCTTCATGCATCGTCGGTCATCTTCGCAAGACAGTATCATCCCTGAAAATGATACCC